TTATGTTATAATCATAAATTCCATCTTTTACTTTTTGTAATGTTTTACTTATTTCTTGTCCTATATTATCATACCTGTACACCACATTCATTTAGGAGTACTAAAACCAAATGCCTTCTATTCGGATATTTTATTTTAAATTGTTCAACAAAATTATTGGCGTACAAAATGATCAGCTTTTCAATACTTGTAGTTTTTGTGTAAGATTCTGGTACGGTTTTCCTATGAAACGTTAAAATAATTATATAACTGGTTTTCATATATTAATTCTCAYTATATATATTTTCAATGCGTTACATTGCCTACACACAGTGTTATAATATATCTATCATAAAACACAAATAACTCAAATAACTTCTACGCAGAAATAATAAAATATAAACCCACGTTTCTTACCTTACCACAACGATTTGAAAAGAAAATTACTTAAAAAACACCGAAACTACTTAACATAAAATTAATAAAAATATATATWGGTACATATTATAAATATAATATTTAAATACTTAAAATCAATAATTCAATCAATCAGACTTTTATTGTATATGATATTAAAATAATATAATACCTAATTATAATATTAGTGACACTTACTCGTTTACAGTATATTGATACAAGGTATCCGACCATTCTAATTCGGCATCCGACAAATTAGTTTTGACCGCTTCCAAAGCATCGATGTAAAGCTTGTAGTCAGATGTATGATTGTCGTCTTCGAGTTCACCATCAGTCGTCAAATCTAATTCAGACAACGTTTTATCATATTGATTCTTGATATCATTGACGATTTCCTTCAGTTCTTGTGCTGTTCTCTTATCTCCGATTAACAACGAACAGTCATTATTGAAACTCGATTCGGAGCTAGAGTCTGATTTATCGTCATCATTACTATCAACCAATGCGTGGTTATCGTCTTCGACTTCATCAATCAACTCGGTGAGATTTGGCGATTTATTAAAATCCCCCCATATCCAATCCATCGAATCGGAATCCATCTTACAGGAAACGTCGAAAACTTGAAAACACAATGTGAAATATTTTCTAGTACGCATACATTGTACATAAGTACTCGTATAGTCGTATGCGCTATATGCAGCCCAGAATATCAACTGAACAGTGTTTGATCAATAACGTGGGTAAACGTTAACGCTATATAAAAGTATATACTATGGGTACCTGCTATTATTAAAACAACAATATCATTGATCATAATATTAATTATTTCTATAGTAATTAACCATTTATCTTTGATATAGAATAATTAATAACTAATACCTATTTATAAAATTTAATTTAAAGTCCATAGTATAGCCATCGCCYATCATGCACTCTCAATTTATTAATAATTTTTAATTTATTGCGATGGTATAAGATAAAAAAATTAATTTATTTTTGAATAACTATATAAAATCCGTTTTTGATMGCATGATCACTAATATTGGCATTGAAAATAAAAGAAAATGTTTATATTGTTTCTAAAAGGAAACCGATTGCAAGCAACAATGAATATTTTTCTACCAATTGTCATCCAATCCAATTAAAGATATTTATTGTTCAAGTTCACATACATMGGATATTTTTAAATTGTAACTATTTATAAGGGCAATTTTAAATTTCATTAATGTTTTATTTATGTGTCACGTTGAAAAAATAAAAGTCGTTTATACACTTAAGTGCCCGGCTCAAACTGTATTGCTGTTTATCATTATTTATAATTGTAAATATTCAAAAAAAAATTGTACTCTTTGTAGTGATTATCTTATAAAACCTGCATCGAATTATTGTTTTATTCATCATAGAAAAAAAATTATATTTTTCGAAATGTATTGATTATACTGTTAATAAACACTAAATTATTAACTCTGCGCCAAAACTTAAAATCTATAGGTAGGTATTGGACATAATGACTAAAACTATTCTTTTTAATGAAAATAATTATAAGTTAGATTTGTTAATTTTAATAATATACTATGGTCTTATCGCTAACATACACGGTTACACCCGACACAAAATATATAATATAATATCATAATACTTACCTATAATAGGTACCTAGGTTTGTGTGTTTTGCTGCTGTGGTACCTATATAGTTATACGTATATGTATATTAAGTATAAGACGATGTCCATTGTAATTATAATAATTTATAACAATACAACCATAGATCGCGATCTAAATTGTGTAGAATATAGTAAGTATAGGTGTATTATCGTATATAGTATACACTATATACTTATCATATCCAGCACACGGTGGCTCCGGGGAGCTCGAATGTAGCACGTTTCGTGTGTAAAAACCACATAACGAGGTGTACCTATATACCTACACCATTTACCAACAATCTAACTAGCACAAGTTCTTATGAGTTATAATATGTGAATCAYGTGAATAATAAAATCACATACGCGCGTAATAATATATTATGATTTATACAAGCCATATACCGAAAACGCTGCAAAAAATACACTGTATGGTATTCCTTGTGATTAAAATGAATTGTGAAATACAAATAAATGWACGATTGCAGAGTATTATTAATTTTAACATATATTTTTCGCATTCGTAAACGGTAAATCAATTAGATATATTATATTATTAAGTGAATCGGTTTTTTACGCAATGCATTTTGTAAAATATATGTAGTAYCTAATACCTATATTATAGATACTAGCTTGGTATCTATAATATTATTTATTATTTAGATGTATAAGTTGGTTTTTTCAGCGTAATTTTTCAGCTCAATTGATATATGTGGCATATAATATRGCCACCTAATTTATGTATCTATACACATTACACATAGGTAATAAATATTAAATAATATAGGAAAATATCAATTGCCCTAAAAATCGCAGGTAAAGAAAGAAAAGTTGTGAGATATTAAAAAGATAGGTTTACATCATCACATCAACTGCGTCGAACGATATTCTCATGTTATAAATTGTGTATTACGTGGATTGCGCTGATCGATTCTTAAATATATGTATAAAGAGTATAAACGTCTATATAATTTTTTAGAAWATTAAATATTGACACCGAAATTAAGACACTTTAAACTCAAGAAATTACAAATTGCACTATTAACGAATTGTAAATTTAAAGATAAATTATAAAACATTTGATAAGCCAATTAGAAACTGAAAATAATATTAAAATATTTGCAACTAAAGACAGGAGAATGAATTTAATGTAGCCAGTCATCACTTCTTACTTGTATTAATAATATTTGACTTAAGTAATTGATAATTATTATTGTTAGTAAAATACTACTCGTATATACGTAAGGGCATAAAGGATAAGGATAAAGTATACTTTGTATTATTGTAACACCTCCAAAACTTAAGGGCTAGTTGGCAGTTGCGYCTATGCTCATCGCTCATGGGTGATGGCTCCCTCGGCGTACTATACTAAATCAGACGTTCCAGCGCTCCAACCACAGAATATAGCAGGGGTGGCCACTAACCTTAACTTAAAGAGCCGCAAATTTATAAAGTTAATTCGAGGTGAGCCACACATTGTAAAGCAATGTTTATAAAATAAAGATACATTTTTCATTTTAAAACAAATGAAGGAACATTTATTTGCTTTTAATTTTAGTCTAAGTTTGGTTCAAGAGCCTCACGAAATTGATTAAAGAGCCGCATGCGGCTCGCGAGCCTCGTTGTGGCCACCCCTGGAATATAGATTTGATATATTCTGTGCTCCAACTTCTCACCTCGGCAGGGCATAATYGGCTCATTGGAATCGTCTCTTTTTCATTTCTCCCACTAAACCATGACTCTGGAAAATTATTGTTGAAGTTCGCAATTTTTTCACATTATCCACGATGTTCGTGTTAGATAACCATTGGCGTGGCGTTGTGGATCTTTGAGTTTCTTGCCATTACTTAGTACTTGTCACATATTGTATAACTGGAAGCGTTGTGAGAGGTCTGTAGGGCCTCGAAAGTGTTTAGCAAATAATCCTGTTGTCAGGAGGTAACTTCCAAGTATACAGGTGCCATAGATAATGTCATTATGTCGATTAAAAGCGCAGTGCAAAGGCGTAAAACTCTTAACTCACAGAATCGGAGACTTCATMAATCATCAGACTGAAACTTTAAAACTAAGTCCGACCTCCGACCACCAATTGATTTAGCCAGATTTTGGCTTCACCATCATTTATCTATCGTATACCAAACTACATTTGTTGAAGAAAAAAAAGGTGTCCGGTAAAGTAACAAGATTACAGTATTTTAGTAATAATAACGACAGGTTTAGGTAGTTACAACTTACAAATATGACAGCGATGCACCTCTAACGGATTATTGGTATGCGGCAGAGAGGGTGAAATATAAGGCTAGCCTCCAACCTCCATAGAATAAAAGTTCATCACGACATAGCCTGTATTTTAATTCCGACAAGACCTGACATAATAGTCATATCGAATTGGAAATTCAGAAAAATAACGTAGGTACCTATTAAGATGATATTGTGTAAAAAATACTCTATTGCGAGACGCCATCTAGGAGATTTTGATTGTACCAATTTCAGATCCGTTTGTCATGTGACAGCTGTTTTCAATTTGTCATTCTACGGTAATAACAAAACCCAAGGTTTATAGATTTACTTATCAAAATTCACGTAAACATTAATAGAAAATAATAACACGATATTGATAACGTTTAAAATACAATTTTACTGTGAATGTACAACCGATAGAAATTTTTTTATTTACCTCTAACGTATTTATGTATATTTGTTCTTGTTTAAGTGACTCATTTAATTTGTCTACATGTCAGGTTTCCCGTCGACGTATTCACCAAAATCATCGCCTCGAGGTGCCAGGTCTCCTGTCGTGTCCAGACAGGATTCTACGGGAACCCTCAAGACGACCATATCGTTGGGCAAGAATCCATCGATTGTGCATAGTGGCCCATTTTATCTTATGAAAGAACCACCATGTAAGTGTCATTGGAATTTAAAACACGTCCGATTTATTGTGCTATAATGTACCATTTACGGGATTAACAATCATTAAAGCTGTATGCAATATATAGTGCTTATACAGTTATACTGTAAAACATTTTAATAATAAAAAATATGGTTCATGGGACCTAAGATTCAAAAAAATAAGTTCTTGAAAATGTTCATTATATGTAAAGAAATATTAATTTTTCATTGAATAACTTGAATTTCTTATGTCCTAGGTGAAAGCGAATTGACCGGGTCTGTAAATTTAATGGCCTATTATGGCCTAGAACATACGTACAGTAAATTCAGCGGAAAAAGACTTAAGGAAAGCTTATCATCATTTTTACCAAATTTACCTGGTATTATTGACACCCCTGGTCATAATGATCAAAGGTAATTTAAAATATTTATAAATAAGTAAACCAATTGTTTATTTGTTACACTGCATACATGTAACAATAATTATGAATCACGATTTATGACATATATGTATTTCCCATATAATTTTCTATAATATAGCTTTTTTATGGATAAATCATTAATGTATAACTGTATATTATAGTGATAATTAATAAAGTCCAAATTCTTGTTTGAACAACCATACAATTATAGATTAATTACTTATTATTTCTTGATTTTTTCTTACAAAACTGTTTTGCTAAATCAAAAAATTATAAATTTGGAATTTGACCTTAATTTTAATTGATATTGTTACTTTAATCTTAAGTCATCTCTTAGTTYTATGACTCAGTAGACAGTGACTGATATGGTAGTATACAATACATTTTCCCATTTAATTAACACAGAAAAAAAGAAAACATAAAGGCAACTTGTATATAAATGTCATAACCGCTTGTAAATAAAAATAAAAACTTTTCTGTATACATTTTTGAACAACACATTAGTTACTTTTTTCATTTCTTACTTTTGTGCACTGTATACTTGTCATTCAAAAAATTAATACACTAAGTTCCCTGAAATAAAATGTTACGTTTTCTATAATATTTTGACGATAATGTATAAAAAAGGACTTCAAATGTTCAATATAAGTATAAATATTCAATTTCAATTCAACAACTCAAAAAATCGTATATACTATTTTTTCAACAGTTAWAAATCTACTGCGAGTATAT